AGTCGGAAGAGGAGGAGGAGGAGAGAGGAAGAAGAAGAAGAAGAAGAAGAAGAAGAAGAAGAAGAGGAAGATGATGATGATGATGAGAGGGGGACGGGCAGCTCCACGGCGACGGGCGACGGGCGGCTCCACGGCGCTGGTGACTCCAAGACGCTGGCGACGGGCGATGGGCGGGTCCATGGCGACGGGGGAGTGAGGCGATGGCGACGGGCGGCTCCACGACGACGGGCGGCTGAACCACGAACTGCACCGGCGGGGGAAGACCAAGGCCCCGTTTGGACAGCCGATGCAGGCCGCGGCAGCCAGTCGGCTGTTCAAACGGGTCGTCGTTTTCCCTCCAAACATCAAACGGCCCTCTGGCCGTCGATCATGGATGATCGATGGCCGGAGGGCCGTCACAATTTCAAAAAAAAAAAGCTGGCCTCACGGGCCCGACTCGCCTTTTTTCAGGCCTGGTCGGACCCGGTAGGCCCTGGGGACCCCAGCTGACGGCGATTCGGGGTCTGAACCCCCCCCCCGACAAGGTGTGCTGGGGGTGCCCGGCCCCCAACCGGGCCGCCCGCCCGGCCAGGCCGCCCGGGAGCTCCCCCGGGCAGGCGCTGGTCGACCGGGCGGCCCGGATCCGTACTCAGGATAATAATAAATTAATAATGATGATGATGATGACAATAAGTTCAATAACAAAGTAATAAAATACTAAAAATAATAATAACAATAATAAGATAAATATAGAATTGAGAGGGTCGGGGTTTCAGCAAGAGATGTACCAGGAGTTGTTTGGATGCCTTTTTTGAAGTTTTTTTTCTCGTGATGTCTTGTCACTTTCTGTGTGGACGATGGTTCGCTCTGTGTCGTTAGCTTCACTCAGGATGTATCTTTTTTTTAATGTCCGATCCGTTTCTTTGTTGATGTCATTCCAATGATTACACGCATTTTGGTTGATGTCGCCATGTCCTGCTTTTCTCTTGCCTCTCTCTGTCAAGATTTTGCTTTTCATTTTTTCGAAATCACTGCAGGACAAGCTTCCGGTTGCTTTTTGACTACGACTCCCTTGTGACGATGACGATCTTGTGCTGTTGTGCTGGTTGGCCCATTCTCTCTTTTTTTTCACTCCTTGTGTGTGCAGGTTGGAACATCCCTTGGGGCCAGAAGGGGCCTTTTGATACGGGGGGGGGATGTGCTCGAATCCGTCTACGGCGTCGACACCGTTGTGTTTGACAAAACAGGGACGCTGACCGCGGGAAAGGCGGTGGTTACTAAGGTGATTACACCACCGTCAATGGTAAATGGCGGTGACGTGGACTCACATGCTCCACAGGGGAATGGCAGATCAACATCAGCGCCTTTGTCGCACGAGTGGACGGCCGACGAGGTGCTGGCTGTCGCAGCGGGAGTGGAAAAAACTACGACACACCCAGTCGCCAGAGCAATAGTCCAGGCAGCAAAAGATGCAGGATGTAGACCAGTGAAGGTAGGGTACGCTGTTATTGTATGTGCTGCATACCTATTGTTCGGGGGAGCGTTTGACGAAGTGTCCCAATCTTATTGTTCCCAGAAATAGACATCCTAAACAAGTGGAGATAACCCTCTAAGGCCTTCCCCCGGCAGGGAGGCTTTAACTGTCCAACCCCCTTCGTTCCCTGTCTACCTCGTTGCAACCCCCCATCTCCCACCCCGCTCCCCGCCCAACTTTTCTTTCCTATTTTTTAGAATGAAAGTTCACCAAACCGAACAACTGAACTTCCTATCCCCCCCGGCCCAGAAGACACTATTATTTTTTTTTTAGGTTCTCTCCGTACTCTTGCTACCATCCCTTCATGCCAATAAAATGCTCCTGATTAGTTAGACTGATCGGATAGGTCTTTCCCTTTTACTTGGAATTGCTTTTTGTCTTTTGCTTTTCCTGGGTTGAGTATGTGCTGATGTCTAGGTGGGGAGCAGCACTCTCTGGAAATCATGTCAGCATCAGTGCTGGTCCCCCGGATGGACCGGGGGTCCCACCCCCAACCGGGAGCCTGCCGGTTGGACCGGGCGGCTGGTCGACCGGGCTGGCAGTCCAACCCAGCACACCTCGCTGGGGGAGGGGGTACCGGGAGCATCACACAACCGCCCAGACCCCAGGGGCCCACTGCCTCCCTTTTAAAAAAAAAAAGAAAAACAGGGCCTTTTGGACCCCACTTTTTGACAAAAATCGGTGGAGGATCTCCGCTGCTGATTTTTGCAGATCAGCAGCAGAGAATCACTGCATATTTTATTATTTTCTTTACCACGAGGGGTCCAATAGGCCACTCTCCTTATTTTAACAATGTGTGGTGTATGGAGTAGACATTATTGAATTGTTATGTGTTCGATTGATTCACATCTCCAGAGTCCAAACCGCATTCAAATGTTCCCATACACACATCTGCAATGACAGGCAGATTGGAGAGAGCAGATTCACACCATAGCCATGGAGAGATATTGCACAGCAGAAACCAAACCAGATATAAAAATTGAGACAAAAATCATAATGTTCCAATCAATTATGTATTACACCCCCTGCTCTCCTCCTGTCAACTGAACAACTCGAAGAATCTCAACCACGAAATCTGTTCCGCCTCCAATTAACCCCCGACAATACACTTCAACGAAGACTTCACTGAAACTTCCTCTTCTCCCGATGATCCCCGGGCTCCAATGAGAGGCCACTGTTGAAAACAGCATCTCGTCATGCCCCGAGCCTGTGAGTACAGGCGCTGATCTGGCATGAGCCAGATACCAAGTCGCAGCGGTGCCAACCACCGTGAAGAAGAAGGTGAGCCTCGATGAAGAAGATGATGGCTGCCCTGGTATGGCGGCAACCAGCAACAAGCCGCTTGATGAACAGCGGCGTCCTTCAACCCCCACAAACAGCAGCGTGATGGCGGTGGCATCAGCACCTGGAAGACCTCCTACCGGTGCTGCCTCCTCAAGCAGCAGGGTGCCCCAGCTATGGCTGCCCAAGTTCCCCTTCGAAGAGGAAGAAGACTGAGCGCTGGAAATAGTGTCGCTCACGTACTCCCGTCGCCACTTCCAAAAAAATGAGAAAAGAACCCCAAACTTGCCTGCCTCTCCCTATTTCTACCGGACTTCCTTAGACCTACAATACAGCAGTCACCTACGAACCTATCTGACAGCCGAAACAGCAAACACCTACGGTCAAACAGTCAAGATCTGCCTACATGCATCTGGATGGAAGTCTAGACTACACGGATCCAAGACTAGGACACACAAACGAGCGACCCACGGGCCTACCAGTTTCCAGAAAAGCAGAAAAGGACAAAACAGCAAGACCTGAAGGGTCCAAGGCTGCCAGATAGAGACTACCAGTGACAGGTTCACGGATCAAGCCCAGTAGGACTCAAAGCTGTAAATAACACATACAAACTGTAGGTCACGGGATCGAGTCCCGAAGGGCTCGGAATAGGCAAACAGCAGACAAACAGTGTACAGCCCGCGTGAGCAACTGCAATTCATTGCAGAACTTACACTCGTCCACGGTGAACCAGCATGATGTTTCAGCAGTGGTTTCCTGAGCTTATATGTTTCTTCGACGTCCCTGCGCTCTGTGCAAAACTTATGGGTTTGGGTTTCGTGAAATCAGAATAGCAGGCCCAAGAATGAACTGCTCTCCGCTACATGCATTTGGACAGACTGCCAGGCAAGATACTTTCGGACTATTGAACCACGGCACATTGAAAGAAAAAAAAACAGAAGAAAAAAAAAAGAAAAAAAAAAGAAAAACAAACAGAAAAGCTCTGCCTGCACGATCTGAAACCTGAACCCGTAACTTTCTGCTGTCGGACACGATACTATGCAAGACTATAAGTTTGGGCAAGGACCTCTCATCAGCATATCATATTCAGCCTCTTCGGGTGTCGTGGGTATGTGAAGGTGTTGCATACTCGTGAAACACAGTCATAAGTATGGCACAGATTCCCAGAACCGACCAGATAATACAGAGTTAATACAAATGCAAGCGGAAGACTTGAGATACCCTGGACTGACTCGGACCTGACTCGGACTACAAGCGAACACTCTCAAACATTCATCAGGGGTGTGAATGCCCTGGCCTCAGACATAGACGAAGGGCCAGGGACTGAGATCATCCACGGACGAAGGGAGAGAGGCGAGAGACGAAAGAGGAGGAGAGGGAAGATGACGTCAACTCAATGTTTCCAAAGATAGTATCTTGAAATGTCATAAGTGACGAAAATCCGAAATGTCGCGAGTGCCAAGTCTCACAATATCTCAGATATCGATCTCACAATGTCAAGTACATTTTCAGAAGGAAGATGAAATCAGATCCCCAAATAGTCCTCAACTTGTAGTCCCAATGTCGCTGTTCCCAATATTATCAGAATTCGTAACCATCCTTCATACTGCAGTAGTCCCGTAGGAGAACCCAGAAGTAGACTGAGACTGAGAAGGTAGGGAAGAGAGAGAGAGAGAGAGAGAGAGAGAGAGAGAGAGAGAGAGAGGAGAGAGGAGCGGTGGAGGAGATGAGGGAGAGAAGGCGAAGCCTTCCTCCCTGGTACCTGGCTATGGCGCTGCAAGGGGGCTGGGCCGGTAACTGGCGCTGCGCTAATCCGCTCGCCGCTGAACGCTTGCTCTCTCGCTGCTCCTCGCTGTGCTGCAGCGCTGCGCTAATTGAGCTAACGCTGAACCTCTCGTCCCTACTAACCTCCCCTACGGAGGCTGGTACCCAGCCTTTTGTAGTGCTGGGCCGGCCTCCTACCTGCTGGTACCTACCGGCCTGGACCGTTGATCTGAATCGACGGTCCAGATTCAAACT